GGGGGGGGATGGCTCCCTTGGGCCCCCTGGCTCCGCCCCTGTGTAAAGATACTTTGAAATAGTGATTTTGAGGTTTATTGCATGACTTAAGGGCCTGTTTGGCAAGTCTTTTTGAGAAGATCTTCTTGTAGCTTTGACAATAAAAAGACACATTGAGCTTTTGACATAAGGTCTGGGCATCCCAAAGACCGTTTGGCAAATGCACGTCTTTCCGTGCATCTTTTGCGTCTTCCTGCACGAGCATAAAACGCAAAAGACACAAAAAGCTCCATTTAGAGCTTCTCGAAATCAGTCCAAAATGGGCTTTTCACGTCTTTTTGGCATTCCGTATTTTGGCGATTAGATCTTTGACGCGCCAAATGGAAATAGACCAAATTTTGGTCTACTCGACTTGTAAACAGCCGAAAGACTGCACAGAAAGACGCACCAAACGGACCCTTAGCTAGCTTGTTGCCCATAGAGGAGATGATTGGTTGATGTAACTATGGTGAACACTATGAATAAAAAAAGAAAGAAAAATAAATAGAAAAAAACTAAGGTCAGCACTTCTACCCTAGCACTTGTCCTTGTAAGATAGAAAGTCTAACATAAAAATATTGCAATGCATTGGTTAGTCAAATTGTTTGGGGACCAAGTCCATGTGAATCTTTTTTAATTAAATTAGTTCTCTTTGTCTCCATTGATTCATTGATTCATTGAAACTCTCTCTTCCTCTATGTATCTGCCACAAATTAGCAGGTTTAACCACTGTATAACTTTCATTATTTCTTAGCTTCTTCTCTTTTGTCAATCTCTTGGCATTTGAGTTTAATTTTAAGAAAGAGACATGGGAAGAGGAAGAAGAAAACAAAAGAACGAAAAAGAGGCAAACAATAATAATGGCGAAAATGTTGGCAAGAAGTATACAGTTATTACGAGGTCATCATGGTCACATCTTCCAGAGCAACTTCTGGTGTTGGTGAAGAGGCAGATATATCTAATATTAGAAACTCAACAAGAACCAGGAATAAACCTTAAAAATCCATTAGAGAATCTTCATTTTCGCGAAGTGAATAAAGCTTGGAGATCATGATCACCTAGGCAGTGTTGTAATCAAACAAGACCAACCCATTGTTAAGGAAAGCTATGGGTTGACTAGTATAAAAGAGGAAGGATCTAAAAATGGTAACTCTACAAGAGTGGAAGTTTCTAATGGAGGTTCTCTCCCAAGTTCAGAAATAGCTGAAATAGGAAATAAATTAATTAAGAAACTTTATACATAGACAACTACCTATTCTTTTCTTTTCTTTCCTTTATTATTTTATTATTTTTGTATATATATTGTACCCAAGTATCTCTAGTTGACATATACAGAAATACAATTTCCTTGCATTGTTTTTTTTTCCTTCTCTTCTTGTTCTTTAACTTGGTATCAGAGCTAAGACTTGAAGGTTGATCATGGCTGCAAACAGTGCCGATTCTTTTGAAGAAATGAACTCCAATTCGTCTGTTCTCTAGAACATGTATATTACGGTGGTCATGAACTCGATTCCCAACATATCTCCTTATATCACTATCAAGTTGAATGGAGAGAACTTTCTATTGTGGAGAGCTCAACTTTTGCCAGTGCTTAGAGCATACAAGTTGATGGGTTTGATTGATGGATCGGCCAAGGCACCACCGGAGGACATCCCAGATCCAAATAATAGTTGTAAGGAAATTCTTAACCCATATTATTCGTCTTGGGTACAATTGGACCAACTCATTTTGAGTTGGCTTGTTGCATCTCTGACTGAGGGCTTATTAGCCCAAGTTGTTGTGCTTTCTACTACAATCGAAGTCTAGGGTGCCCTAGAGAGATCGTTCTCTTCTCGCTCATGATCTAAGATATTACAACTTAGACGCCAACTTCAGAATCTTAAGAAAGGGAATTTATCCACAAGTGACTATATTAAAAAAGCAAAGACTATTGCAAACAATCTATCTGTTGTTTCTGAACTAGTAGCAAAAGAGGATATTGCTCTATATGTTTTATCTAGACTAGGAAGTGAATATGAATCTCTTATTACCGCTATTACTAACAGAACTAATGCAGATCAGTTAGGAATCAATGATGTTCCTGGCTTACTTCTTAGTCATGGATCATGGCTTATTCAACATAATATCTCCAACGAAGCTCCCAACGCTAATATTGCTACAAATAATAGCAATAATAATTATTATAATAAGAGCAGCAATAAGCTTGGACGAGGTCAAGGATGAGGCAACCCAATTGTATGTCAGCTATGTAATAAACTAGGACATGGAGCCTTGAAGTGCTACAAACGGTATGATCTTTCATACCAAGGAGAAAGCAACCATAATTTGCCAGATCCTACTGCTGCATTCCATAGTGGTATGTCTTCCTACAATGGTTCAAATGCTAATTTCGATCCTACCTGGTATCCTGATAGTAGAGCAACTCACCACATGACTCTAGATGTTGACAATTTACAAAACAAGTCTGAATTTTTAGGTACGGATCAAGTGAAAATTGATAATGGAGAAGGTTTGGCAATTAAGAATATTGATTCTTCTTCTCTAACTTATGATCAACATCAGTTTAAACTAAAAAATGTTTATCATGTTCTTGCTTTGACAAAGAATTTGATTTCTGTTAGCAAATTTACAAGAGATCATTATTTAGTGTTTGAATTTCACTCGGATTTCTTTTTATTGAAGGATCATACGGAGAGAACTTTAATCAAAGGACCCAGTAGAGATGGACTCTATCAGTTTCCTGGCACTAATAGTTATAAAAGGAATTTAGCTGAAGTTTTTGTTGGAGAAAGAGCTTCTCTTCAGAATTGGCATCATCGACTTGGGCATGCTTCTTTAAAAGTAGTTAAATTAGTGATTTCTAAAATTGATTTGTCTTCTTCTGGAACTGTCAATGATAATTTGTTTGTGAGGCTTTTCAATTAGGCAAAACCCATCGTTTAAGTTAGTTTATTTCTTCTAGTACTATTTCACAACCTTTGTAATTGATTTACTCTGATGTGTGGAGACCTGCCCCAATTTTGTCTACAAAAGGCTATTGTTATTATGTCTTGTTTATGGATATGTATTCAAAATTTTCTTGGATTCCTCTTGAAAGAAAATCATATGTTTTTTATACTTTTCTTAAATTTAAGAGGTATGCTGAAAATTTCTTCTCTACTAAAATAAAAATGTTTCAAAGTCATTAGGGAGGTAAATATCGTAGATTATCTCAATTTTTGGACAGTAAAGGAATTTTGCATCGAGTAAGTTGTTCTCATACTCATGAGCAGAATGGTAGTACTGAATGAAAACACCAGCATATTATCGAGTCCACTCTCTATTGGCATGCTCCTCTCTCCCCAAATCCTTTTGGACTGAAGCAACAGAAACTACAGTTTTTCTCATAAACCAGTTGCCTACACCGACCCTTGGTAATCTCTCTCTGTATGAAAAATTATTTGGGTGTGCACCTGATTATTCCATGTTACGGAGTTTTGGTTATCTTTGTTATCCTCTTATTAGACCATATAATAAGCATAAAATGGCTTATAGGTCTACCCGTTGCATTTTCATTGGTTACAATTCTTCTCATAAAGGGTATAAGTGTTATAATCTAGTCACTTCATAGAAAATTATTGCCAGACATGTTTTGAATGAGAAACAATTTCCTAAGATTTCTCAAGATAGTCCATCCTCTGGACATCTAGATTCGGCACCAATTTCATTGTTACCTGTAACCACAGTTACTAATGCATATGAGCCTTCTCTTTCTCCTTTTATTACTGCTAATTCTTCTCCAAATCATCATGGTACTTCTCCAAATTTTTCTTCTTCTATTAATGCTTCTACCGATGGTTCTTTGTCTCATAGTGATAGTCAGATAGAACCGCTGCCTCAGAGAACACGGTTGCTTCAAGAAATTCTTGACACCACACTTGTTGTTCCTCCTCCAACGGCACAAACACATACTATGACCACTCATTCCATGTCTACTCGCCAATTTTAGACTGTTATGTGGTATCCTTTTCCTGAAGAACTCCTAGTAGCTAGTGGTGCTTGTGATATGCAACCGTCTTCCTATTCTCAGGCATCCAAGTTTGCTCACTGGCGCTTTGCTATGACCTCTGAGTTTCATGCTCTCCTCCAAAACGATATGTGGCAACTTGTTCCCTATGATCCCTTCATGACTGTTGTTGGCTCTAAGTGGGTCTATAAAATCAAGAGAAAACCTTATGGTTCTATAGAAATGTAAAAAGCCAGATTAGTTGCTCAAGGTTTTTCTCAGGAACCTGGAGTCGATTTTACTGATACCTTTAGTCCAGTTGTTAAACTGTCTACTGTTTGTACCATATTGCCTCTAGCCACATCACAGTGTCAGATCGGATTCAGATATACTCTGATTCGAATCCAATCCGATCTATTTACATCGCTACATTTACAAGGGCTTTCAACTGTGTGTATAAGAGGGGGGAGAGAGAGAGAGAGGACAGTTCATAACAAAAATGCCAAAATTCTACCACAGTCATAGGTATGCAAAAAAAAGAAAAAAAAAAGAAAAGAAACATTCATCATCGATAGTTAAAAAAAAATGATTTCAACAACTTAACCAAGACTTAGCCAACCATTTGGGATCAGCTAAACATTTCTCCATTAAACTCTGCCATGGCCACATTATCAAACTCTTAACAAATATCTCACATTCAAGCAAGTAAAAAACACTTGATAGAAATTCATACTTCATGGACTACAGAGTTTTCCCAATTAAACATTATGAATAACAAATAATGATGCACCTTCAAGAGTCCCTCTTTACCATTCAGATGTCTCGATCGGCATAAGAAAGCGAAACAAGGGTTCATATTGTCATGTAATGCAAACCAAGATGATGAAAGGAAAGTAGACACAACTGCAAAAACAACAGACGAGCATTCCAAATCCAGCCTAGTAGCTTCTGACCTCCGACTTCCGAGAAAGAAAAGGTTCAATTCCCTCCATGAAACAAACATATGATAGGAAAGGTTTTCGTATTGGATTTTTCTTTTTGAGCAAAAAAACCCAGCTTTTCTGATCAGACATCACAACCCATTTTTGCAAGTATAAGAACAAGGCAGCAAAAATTCAGAAAACATCAAGGATGAGTTTAGAAAGAAAAACAAAAAAAAGTTACTCTGATTCTGTTTCTGAACTCTCAAGGGAGTTGAGGGCCGTGAAACGGTCTAGAGGGTCTGGACCGTGGACCCGTAGCTCGGCATCAGGACCGGTGGGTGGGACCACCATTCAGTCCGGTCTAGACCGAATTATCTATAGATAATGGAAATTCGATATTGAAAAACATACAACAGCCATCAGAGTGGCGCAGCGGAAGCGTGGTGGGCCCATAACCCACAGGTCCCAGGATCGAAACCTGGCTCTGATAATCTGATTCAGAGAAAAGAAAAAGCTTCCTCATTTCTTTTTCTTTCTCTTTTTTTTTTTTTACATTTTTTTCGTTTCTTCAGTGACTAATGACAATTCGACTAACACTTAAATCATGTTAGAACTACAACGATTATCAATGTATGTTCATCTTCTCTGCATTCGGATTCTGGTTTACATCAAGTTTTGGAACTGACTTTTGGAGGTGACGACGACGAACCACTTAAATGTTCCTGCACAGAGAAAAAAACCAGAATAGAGATTTTAATCTCACTTCCGCTGACATTAGCAATTGTAAGATTGACAGAGAAATTAATGTTTAACAGTTGAAATTGAAATCCTACCGCAACAATTTCACCTAGTTTGTTCTTGTTCTCTATGGTTGTCACCACTCTGGTTTCAATGGTTGTCACCACTTTTTCTTCTTTCACCAAAACCTTCTCTTCCAATTTCTTGGATTTCCCTGCACACATCAAACGCAGTCAACCAAGGAAACCAGGCATAGTAGCATTTCACTTCACTCTGAATTTTCTGATTGATTGATGGGTTGAAACTGGACTTACGCTTCTCCTCTGTTTCTGTTCTCTTCTCTCCTTCATCAACGAAACCTTTCTTGTGTTTAGCTCCTATTCCAGGCATGTCTGGTTCATGGGGTGGCGAGAAGTACACGACTCCTCCTTCGTCACCAACAATGGCGTCGATCGCATCCTCGTTCTTCCTGGACGAGAAGTAGTGGTCCGGTGAGTCTCGAGAAATCAATCTATCGTGGTGGGCTTCGTTCCCTCCGTCCACCAGCTCCTCCCCCGTAGTACCCTTTGCTTCCTTCGTCCCCCCATCGTTCGATTCTGTATTCACAACTACGTCTTTCACATCTCCTCCCCCTACCACCTTCTCGCTCTGGAATTCTATCTCTGTTGTTGTATTTTTAGGTTCTGGTTGTTGTTGTTGTTGTTGCACTTGCAGAGATGGGCTTTTGGCGACGCCGTCGACGTCGCCTTCAGGGATGGGTTCTAGACCTTCCTTGCTCCTTTCGACGGCAACGCTTAGTTTCTTGCGACGGCGAACAGTATTGCCGGCGGCAACGTCATGCTTTGATTTGTTGCAACCCATTTGAAATCCACACAAAAAGAACTGCAGAGCAGAGAAAGAGAGAGAGGGAGGGATTGTGATGGGGCTGCATCGATTGTTTGCTTATTTTTGTTTTCGAAAGGATTTGATGGCGTTTGAGTTTTTTCAGTTCTCGAGATTCCGAATTCTTCGATAATTCGGAAGGTTGAGATAAACATATTGAGATGGGTGTGTCTATGGGCACACGAGGATATGTTTAGGTAATGACAGTTTTGCCAATGGTGCAACTACCGCATTTAGAACCGGTTTCCGGGTGGATGGTTCGACCGTCCAGTTTGAATAAATGACTCGTTCCAACAAAAAATAAAAAAAGAATAATTAAAATAGATAACTGTCAAAAATCATTGAATGGGTCAACAATTCAACTGCCTAGGTCAATGGGTTATTGACAAATTCAATAGTTTTTGGTCAGGGACCGGGTTTAAGGTAAAACAGAACTGGTTGCTTATACAGTTTTCGAGCCAAACGGTCTGACCGTTTAGGTCAACAGTAGTTCGAAAACATTGGTTAGAACTATCAATAAGTCGGGTCAGGTCAGGTCAGGTCTAGGTCATGATAGACCCAGTCGAGTTTGCAATCAAGACCAAAAACCAATAATAGCTATATTTTTAATATGTAATCAAATTAAATAATTTAAAAATAAGCCTATTTATTTGCTAAATTGACACATTAGGCCCGTTTGATTCATAGGAATAGGGGTTTGGAATTGTAATCGAAATTAGAATGAATCATTGTGATTCAACTATTTGGTTGGATGAAATTGAAATCACATTTTCATTCCTAGTGGAATGGTATTTCCCTCCCTTCCCATGGAAATGAAATCCCATTCCATCTGATTCTAATTATGATTTTGATTCCTTTTTGAATCAAACATACAACCATTCCAATTTGATTTTAAAGGGTTTTTTATTCCAATTCCAGTTACAAACCCTTAAGCATGAGAACATGCTAATATTACAACCATATTATAAGAAAAATAGGCTTTTATAAGGGGTATTCACGATTCGATCAGTGTCCTTTATCCTAAACCAAAGTCAAACCAAATCAATCAATTAACTGATTGATTGTTTCAGTTGTTCAGTTTTTCGAAGTTATTATTTATAATAAATAATATATTAAAAATATGTATAGTATCAATTATCTCATAAATACTATAAATATTTTATATATAACAACCAAAAGTTATAGCTAGCAACCCAATTATAATCGGGACGCATAATACAGACCTAGATCATATAATAATTAGGGAGACCAAATCTGCTCCTCACAGAGCGCACCTCAGAATGACCTCACAGGCACCATCATGCATTGGGAACATTTCCCATGAATAATAATTCATAAATATAGAAGATGTTTTTGATACATGATGGGATATGCTTATGAGGTTAGTGTGAGGTGCGCTCTATGAGGARTAGATCCGGTCTCATAATTAGGTTGGATCAGGTTGTCAGATCTACCCAACCTATTGTCAACCCTATAAAGCAACACTCCCATGAATAATAATTCATAAATATAGAAGATGTTTTTGATACATGATGGGATGTGYCTATGAGGTTAGTGTSARGTGCGCTCTATGAGGAGTAGATCCGGTCTCATAATTAGGTTGGATCAGGTTGTCAGATCTACCCAACCTATTGTCAACCCTATAAAGCAACACTCCCATGAATAATAATTCATAAATATAGAAGATGTTTTTGATACATGATGGGATGTGTCTATGAGGTTAGTGTCAAGTGCGCTCTATGAGGAGTAGATCCGGTCTCATAATTAGGTTGGATCAGGTTGTCCGATCTACCCAACCTATTGTCAACCCTATAAAGCAACACTCGGTAGTTAATCCGTTTGGTCAGCCGTCAGAATTAGAATCAGAATTCAAATGGCATATTCCCTTTTCTGTTTGGTTCAGAGGAGAACTGAAACCGAAATTGGAATGGACTCTCATTCCCCAAGGAGGGAGGGAGGGGGGAGAGGAAATGACCATTCCCTCCCTCAAATAGGAGAATGCCATTTGACCATGAGAATCGGATTTCGATTCTGTCTAACCAAAGGTTGGAATTAGAATGGACCTTTTTTATTCTGATTCTAGACCTCTATTCTCATGAACCAAACGGATCCTTAATTGATTGAGAGCTCACTTGCAATCTAACTAGGGCCCACAACTTGCCACATGTTGTGATGCATATCCAATAGATAAGAGATGGATCAGACACCCTTCTTCATACCAGAAAATCAGGATAATCATTTCTACCCATTTCTTTCATATCGAATCCTTTTTCTTCGGATTTCAGCATTTCCTCCTCCAATCCAATACCACTATCTTTGCATTGCTTCTTCCTCTACGGTTTTTTCTTCCCCTCAAAATCTGGATATTAGGGGTGTTCACGGGGTTGGCGGTTTGAGTCATTTTCTTCATCCAATCCAACTTAGCTGGTTTACTTGTGATTAAATCGAAACTGACCGACCCTGAAGCAAAACCAATCCAAACGTGAATGGTCGGTTTATCGGTTTAGTTGGTTTTTATATATATTTTAAACTAAAATATCTATATCTAAATATTTATTTATATTTAAGTTTATTTCTTTTTAGTTTTTTATGCAAAACCAATATATTCAAGTCGATTAGTTTTTTATGCAAAACTGATTTTTTTTGTCAATATATATTTAAATTTATACAGAACTGAATTAAATGTTGTACCATTGTATTATACTTGTATTGATTTTGACTTTTGAGTTTTTAATTTTTATCATAAATAACCAATTTCTTTTCAAAATTCAAACAAAACACAAATAAAATATATCAACATATAACATATACGGTAGGGACTAATTAATAATTACTTAAACATAGGATCGGTTCGGTTCGGTTCGGTTTGGTTTTATTTTCATGTATGAAAATCAAACTGAACCAAGTTGTCGGTTTATTTTCTCATACAGACCGAAACCAACCAGTGGTTTTGAAAAACCGACCAACTCGAATTGGGTCGGGCCGATTTCGTCGGTTTGACATTTAATGCGAACACCCCTACTGGATATTATCTCCAATCTTCTACCATTCAAAACTAAGGATTCCATGATTGAACCGATATGCTTTACTTCCAATTATTATATATTGTGAATTTAGGGGTGTCAATTGGACTGGATTTGGTCCAATCCGATCCAGTCCAATGTGAGTCCATTACAAATGGATCAGGTTCAATCCAATCTAATGAATATTTTGGACCATTTTGGAATAGGTCCAATTTAATGTCTGGATGATCTAATCTGTTCAAATTCATTTTAATTTAGATTGTTTTCGATCCAAACCTGGTCCATTGACACCTACATATATTCTTATCTTATATTAATGGACTAGATATTGGCTTATGGACCAGATTCAATCCAATCTAATAAATATTTTGGACGAGATTGATTATTTGATGGGGAACAAACATAAACATACATATACAAATAGAAATGGTGCAGAGCTCAGATTGATCTACAAAAGGACACTATGAATCCATTACACTTATAATCAATCAGGGAAGTCGGCATTAGAATTCCAACCAGAAAAAATGCTACAAGTTTCCATGTCAAAGACCCACCAACCAGGGCGGCCATGCTGGTTAAAGTAGATGCAGTTGACTCTGCATCCCAGTCCATCACTTGCAGACACTGACATGCAACCAGTCAACCCCAAGAGCAGAGTGCGATCGCCCAGGCTTTCCACCTTGACCCAAGATAGCTCAGAACGATCAAGCTTGAAAACTTCCACATCATCCACCACGTCCATCTGTTTCCTGTTAAAGATTAATGTAGAAACTATTTACTGTTGAGTTGGTCAAATAATGACTTAGTCCTTTCAGTTGGGCTGTATTTGCTATTTTTTAGGAGTCATATCAGGGGTGTTTGGTACTAGAATCCCTGATAGTTTGTTATGTTTTCTTGCTATTTAAATGTTGGTTATGCAGTGAATAAAGATATGCCCTTTCTGCTAATTTCGTTGTCTTGTTACTGTTCTTTTCATTGTGTTAACCATCCTTTATTTTCTAACATTTGGTATCAGAGATTTTAGTACCAAACACCCCTGATATGACTCCTAAAAAATAGCAAATACAGCCCAACTGAAAGGACTAAGTCATTATTTGACTAACTCAACAGTAAATAGTTTCTACATTAATCTTTAACACCCTCCCTTAATGTAGAAATTTAACAACACCTAAAAGATCTCTTAAATCCATGAATTTCTTCAGTGGAAGTGGCTTGGTGAATACATCTGCAACTTGATCATTGGTACTGCAATATTTCATCTTGATGTCTCCTTTTG